TATTTTTCAGAAGAAAAAATATACAGCTTTAAATATGCATTTACCAAGACACAGTATCAAAAGGAAGCAACCAAACACACACACACTCACACACACACACACACACACACACACCTAACAGTAACATGAGAAAGAGCGAGACAAGCCCATGGGGAAGTGGTAAAGCACCGCTCTCAGAAGCTGACAGAGCAACAAGAATTCAGGGAGGACAGTACGACTGAGAGCACGAAAATGGCAGGCGACCCAGGGAGCGCCAGCAGGGCTCCCATAGGAAACTCGGACACCAACGCTTGAAAGCATTGTCCATCCACCACACTGTGAGCTCCAAAAATGGAAAGATGACAGCACCCCAGACCATGGGCCCTGGCCCTATTAGAGTTCAGAGACAAAAAGATAAACAAAACCACATGTCTGGAAATTATGAAACACTGCAAGTAGCTATGAATCAAAGAAAACCTCATAATGCCAATCTGAACATACCTTGAGTGGATTAATTCAAACATCATACATTGCAACATAAAGCAAATCAGAAAGGGAAATTTGCAGTCCCAAAACAACCAAATTGACTAGCCCAAGAAGACAGCTTCCAGGTGAAAGCTAGGCTTGGTGGTAAACCTAAAACCCACCTCCTAGAACAAAACATTCCATCCCAAAGGAAACTCTTTCAACAGAAAGGTAAACAACTAAAAATCGTTTCAGGAAGTCCCTGAACCTGACCAGATTCCTGCCAGAGTAAGTGAAGCGGAGCTATAAAGAAGACTCTGAGACCAGACCAGCTTCCGGGAAGGGGCAGAAACCAACCATGGTTCCCGGAGGAGGTTTAGACCAGAGTCACTTGGAAAGGACAGTCTCCAAGCTGTTGACCTGCCTGCAGTCTGTGCATTGTGCTTCAGCTTTCCCAGCTTTAGTGAACTATGTCAACCATGCTGGAGTGGGCATTATTTCTGCTCCTGTAACCTCTTGTCTTAGCTTTTTATTGCTGTGAAGAGACACCATGACACAGCAACACTTATAAAGAAAAACATTTCATTGGGGCTAGCTTATAGTTGAGAGGTTTAATCCGTTATCATCCTGACAGGAAGCATGGTGAGACGCAGGCAGGCATGACGCTGGACAAAGAGCTAGCTGAGAGTTCTACGCCTTGATCCATAGGCAGCAGGAAAAGAACTGAGCCACCAGGCCTAGCTTGAGCTTCTGAGACCTCCAACAAAGCTACACCTATTCCAAGAAGGCCATACCTCCTAATAGTGTCAGCCCCTATGGACCTAGGGGGATTATGTTTATTCAAACTACCACATCCTTCACCCACACTCCTGTAAGTAACCCCAATAAAACTCACGGGTTCACCAAGTTAGACTTGGGTGGTATCCTTACTTTGGTCTGTCAAGGATTCCAATCTGGGTGAGCAGACATGTGCACTGTGTCTAAGAAATGTTGTCCCACAACACCCCAGCAATGGTGCAGAGGACAAAGACAGGAGGATCCAGTAAACCTTACCAAACAAAACAGGAGCTCCAGGTTCAGTGAAAGAGCCGGTCTCAGAGTAAGGTAGAGACACAGCACATGTCTAGCCTCTGCATTCACAGACAGGAGTGTGAGCGCACGCGATAAAAGAAGGCCTAGGAGTGTCCCTAGGTAGCACAGTGCTTACCTAGCGTGCATGAAGCCCATAAATTGGCTATAGGTTACAGCTGCGTATACCTGTACTCCCAGCAAAAGGCAGGAAGATCTGAAATTAAAGGTCATCCTCAGCTGCATAGTGAGTTCAAGGCCAATCTGGCACTCACAGAACCTGTCTTTCAAACAAGCAAATAAACAAAAAGGAAGCAGAGAAGGGAAGGAGGGAGGAGAAACAACAGAAAGAAAAAAAACAAACCGAACCAAAAACTTCTTGCAAAACTCATGACTAGAAAAGGATTAACTTAAAAACCACTTCCTGGAACTGGATGTGCAGCTGGTGATAGTCTTCTGGGGCTGGCTCTCCGGAGGGACATCGTGAACATGGTAACGCCACTTCTGTACCGTCTTCAGAGGCTCCTTCCTGTTCCATTCTCTCCCGCTGCTCTCCCCTTGCGTTCTCACTGCGGGTCTGATCTCCTTTGAGCTGTCTCTGGGGTCTCCCGTGCCCTTTTCCCCTTCTGGCGTGTTACCCCCATTGCTTCTGACACATTTTGGAGGCTCTGTAAATCTGGGTCTGTCCTTTGTCCTTTTATATTCTGGATTCTGAGCTTGTGGGAACTGACCTGAAGCTTGTGTTTTAGGTACGGTATTCGAGAAAAGAGTTGGGGTTTGCTTTTGGTCGGTGCTTGAGGTGCTACAGAGTCACAGTAAATAAGCCCTCGGTTGGAGGCTTTTCAGGACGTGTTGGGGAGGGGACATGTGGGTCGTGAGTTCTGACGTGAGTTCTGACGGGAGAGTTCTCCCACCCCAGTGCTGAGGCCTGCATCCTCCCTATGATAGCCAGCTCTGAGCAACTCCACTTGTAACATGACCTCGTCAGGGTGTTATATTGTACTTTGCTCAGACTTCCTGTCTTTCCCCAGCTTCCATCTGTCTCCTGACCTGGCATACAGCCACTAAAACAGACACCACATAGATGACCCTCCTGGTACAGCCAGTGGCTTCTGTACTTGTTCCTCTGTTCCTTTTGCTTCTTCCGATCCCTTTCTTTCTTGATCAGATCATCTACTGAATTGAATTTGGGGGTTCATAGTTCTTTTTGCTTTCATTTTTATCCAGCCTAAGTTTACGTTTTCTGAGTAAGAGGTTCATTTGCTCTCTGCCCATCAAACATTCCTACCATCCTTCCACACACACACACACACACACACACACACACACACACACACACACTTCAGTGCAACTTTGCTAGAAAGAGGAAATTTGCATACTGTTCTCAGAAGACTCACAACTAGGTGGTGTACAACAGAAGAGACAATAAAGGCATATGACCCTGGGCATGTGTGTCTATTAAGCAGACACTTGAAAAGTACTGAACACTTAACTTTGTTCTCTTTCTTGAGGCTAGCCCTCAAAGTCCTGGAAGGCGCTATCCTACAGACGGCTGAGGGAGGGAGAATTGTCATCGGTAGTATTACTCAGCTGTGGACCTTGCCTACAACACTCACCAGCCAGGCTGGATGGCTCCATAGATGCAAGCTGGCTGAGGGTAATCAAAACACGTTTTATCGGATTTGAGGCCACGCCACTGGAGGAAATTCACATCTGGTACTGTAAAGCCATTCAGAAGCCCAGGGCTGGGGAAGCCATGGGCCCTAGTGAGGAAGCTACTGCTGCAGGTGGATTGCCTTCTAAGTAAGTAAGCTTCCTACAGCGGAAACTCACACCTGGCTAAAGTGATGGGAGGTGGCCGCACTCAAGGGGCCATCTCTAGCTTCCCTTCGAAGGCTCAGGGAACACAGAATGCCAGATGGGAGAGCAAGTGGTTGGAGCACTGTCATTGCTGTGGCGCTGCTCTTGAACTCACAGCAGCTGGGATTACCTGCACAAGACTTAGCCCATCAATATCCTGTCACGGAGGGGTAAGGTTCTCATGGGATCCCACCCTTCCCTTAAGGATTTATGTAAGTGGTGGTTGCTGAGAGAGAACAGACATTTCCAGGTGCCCGTGAGTATGAACCATCCCTGCTCATGCTTCTGTAAATAACACTAATGAAACCTGTTGTGTCACAAAAAAAAAAAAAAAAAAAAAAAAAAAGACCAGAAAGTAGAGGAAGTAAGAGACAGTACCAGGGAGGTAAGATCAAAAGATGTAATATACACAATGAAAATGTCACACTGGGACCCAGGATTAGTGTAACAAATACATGCTATGGGACATTTAAAAATATCTTGGGGGGCTGCAGACACAGGTCAGCAGTTGAGTGCTTGCTGCTCTTCTAGAGGACTTGGGTTCAGTTTCTAACACCCACATCAGAGCTGCTCTATGGAATTGGACCCTCTCTCTTCCGGTCTTCGCAGGTTCTGACACAATTCTGGGGTGAACCTTGGCAGCTGAATCAAAGGGTTACCAGAGTTCCCAGGTACACGCCCTTCAGCCTTGGGAATACTTTGTTGTGCTCACAGTCACTCTCGAGAATGGCAACCTCACACCTTACATGCTCACTTCCAGAAGGCAGGAGCTGGGCACCAGCCCGGGAGCAACGGTACCAGGTGTATTGTTTGTAACTGGAAACAGAGACTAATTTACCTGCTGCACCTGTCACTGGGCATCTTAAGACCAACCCACTCTCAGTGCCACCCCAGGGAGAACAGATTCTTCAACTTTCAGAACATCCTGGCTCTAGTCAGCACTCCGTAAAACCAACACACAATTGAGGCAAATTTAAAGAAATTGAGATCTATATCAAAACCATGGTGGGGGTTTGAGGGGCGCATGATCCTTGTAGCTAGAGCACAGGAGTCAGAGAAAAAGACGAGGGGTGAGCAAATCCAGAGGATGAGCTCTGTGAGTAGCCCAAACGTAGCTAATCTGCTCACCCAGGCCTGCTGCCAGCCAGCCTGGACACCCATCGTGGTGTTTCCAGCACTGTAAAGGGCATCCTATCTCTGACAGGCCAGGTCTGAGAGCAGCACTCACCTCACTCTCCCTGCTCCTGCAGCTATCAATGTGCTTTAAGCTTTCTGCTCACTGTGTGTTCCAAAAACCTGCCATAATAACAAATTATTATTTTTTAAATGTAAAGTGCTATGAGAAAGTTTATGTGCAGAATGTGATGTCCGAGTTTTGTCAAATGATTCTTCATGAAATTCCTGGGAACCTGGGAAACAGATATGTGGCTCTAGACGGTCACACAATGATTTATTCTTTAAAGCAACAGAAATGAAACACCAGCAATGTAACTGACAATGAAAGTAAAACACTCACTATAATCGTAAGCCAGCACCAATTTTAAAATGTCCATTCATGTGTGTGTAGCCTGACGTGTTAGGCCCGGGGGACCACCCAAGCCTACCAAAGAACAGAAAGGAAACACAGCAAGGTTTTGGGCAATTTATTCACAGTTCCGGCGTAGTCACTGGATTTAACAGGACACAAGGATGAAATAACCATCTGGCTCAGAAAACTAAACATTCATTTAAAAGAATACAAAATCAAACAGAGCAATGATTATTCTAACCCCAGCCCCACAGAAGTATAATTTAAACAAATACCAAAACTTTATTAATGGGAAAACACATTCAACCAGAGAACATTCAAAAAGTTAACAATACCATTTTTATACCACTCTGGAAACTAGTACAGAAAACAGGATAATGTGAGAGCTTCCTAAGACATCATCATCAGCCTTTATAACATCAATCTCAAGCTGGTGTGGACATACACTTAACATAGCAAAACTCAACAGTCTTGCTTAGCTACAGACACGACTATTTGAAGCCAATGCTGTCAGTTTTACTATTTGTCACCATCCCAGATCTGAGGATATGTTTAAATTCATCAAGCTATGAAGACACTGAAATACTTACTAAGAAGTGAGAAAGACCAACTTATGTTAAGACTTAAATCTGAAAATAAACAAAGCCATGTGAAATCCATCTCTAAGCATAAAACACTAGTACCGTTGCACACACAACTCAGTAAACATGTGGATGTCATAAACCATTAACCATTCCCTTCCATTTCTTTGGCCTTCCCAATTCAATGTGAATTATGAATTCTTTTTTTAATGCCTACTTTCCAATGACATTGTGCTTTTTATTTTTTTAGAAAAATTGTACCATTACAGTATATAATAAACAGGTAACCTTAGTTTCTTTTATTGCTCTAGAATATCCTAATTATAAAAAAAGATAAAAGACTAACCCCCAAAGACTGAAAGTGTGTTTGTTAAAGATCAGCTAGTTTCCTTCCCTAAAGAGTGACAAAAATGACTGACAGAGGAATATTACAAGGGACGAAAAACGGACTTTTTTCCTCCCATCTTCAGAACTACTTGAGTAAGAGCCCTGGAGTCAAAGGAATATGATGGCATGGCCTCAGAATAACCCACTACACAGAGAAGCTGCACAGCGCCCTGTGACACCCTCTGAGACGCAGGGACACACAACTGCTTGCCATATTACTAACTGCTGTTCTTTATAGTACTGTACATCCATGTATCATGGACAGGCTTATGAACACGTTCCGAAATGTGGACTACTGTTAGAGTAAACAAAACCATCCACAGCATTTAGCTCCTCAGCTCTGCCTTTCCACCCTCCCACCCACGACTCACACGGAACAGGTCCACCAGGACAGTGGAAAGTGCTTGGCTCTGCTGCCCAGCACAGTGACCTGCTCACAGAAGGAGCTCATGAACACCTGCTGACAACAGTCACAAGCTGAGTGAGCAGTACACACCCTATACCTTTTTGCTCCTGTGGCATAGATTGTTCTTTTTTAAAGCTGAATTCAAAGTAACATCAATTAACTGGGCCATGTGTCTGGTGCCCTACACTCCTCCCTGCTTAGCAAGGGCTCCCAGAAAAGGATGTTTATGTGAACTTAAACTTTAAACATACTATAAGAAAGAACTTTAGCTGGGCAGTGGTAGCACATGCCTTTGATGCCAGCACTCGAGAGGCAGAGGTAGGTGGACCTCTATGAGTTTGAGGCTGGCCTGGTCTATAGACTGAGTTCCAAGACAAGCCAGAGCCACATCGAGAAGCCCTGTCCTGAAAAACCAAAGCACGGGGAAAAGAACTTTAATAGAAAGCTTCCCTTTTGCAGAGTACTTTTGTTTTGAAAAATTAGATTTTCATGTCCTGGATTATACCAATTTTAGCTGGGCCTACTCACTCATAGTGGCTTGCCTCACTAAAATATCTGGGTGTTAAGAATTAATTTAGCAAAAGAATTTAGTGCAGAAAGCAAAATGGGATATGGAAGAGAATAATACTTGTTAAGAAAATACTACTCTGATCTTCATTTGGGCTTTTGCCTATTTGGTTTAGGATTTATTCTACCTTGGAGTGTGTATGGAAGGCAAACTGATGAACGGACTCAAAGTCAGAGCCAGACAGAAGAAGAAAGTTCTGACGTTCCAGTGTACAGAGGGGGGCTAGCCAAACTAACTGTATAATTCGAAACAGCTCCAACAGGACTCGGGATTAGTAACTGAGGTGATGGATGACCTAAGAATGCTGTGCTGATCATTTCCCAACTTCCCAATGTTTTAATGTACCAACATCACCCTGTATTCCAAAACTACACAAGAAATGCGAAAACCAAACCAAAACCACATACAAGCATGAGCAGCAGCACTACTACAGCAAACACAAGAAATGACATTAAACACATGCTAAACTAACATGAAATCTTGGAATTAATTACAACAGAGAAACAGAATTAAAATAGCTACATGGGGTATAAACTCTGGCCCTGTTTTTAAAAATCAGGTTTCCAGGATCCCTCAATGTGAGTGAAGCCTTCCAAAATGCCTAAAATCACATAAACTCTTTCTTCAACCCCCTTCACAAGAGGCCTTCACTTATGTCATAGCATTAACTGCTTATCATCAAGTTCAAACACAAAGCGTGAGCACTAAACGCTCTAAGTGCTGCACTTTTATAAAGGAGAAGTGAAAGCTTTTGAAAGAAATGGACCTAACCTGAACATAAGCACGCCTTTCTATGGCCCGTACAATCTGACCCAAAGAACTCTGTGAAGAAATTACTCTGCACACTTTTGGGGTGTCAAACTAATATTCTATTTTAAATATTTTATCCAAATCATCAACTTCCATTTCTGACACTATCAGCTAAAGGTATGCCAGTATCACTTACATCCTTAAACGGGAGTCAAGACAATACAGAGGAAAACATCTGGAAAGGAACCCTAAATCTGATGTCACCCCACACTGGAAAGTATGTGATGTTCTAAGCCTAACCTAACACATTACACTGAAGGTCAAATGACCGGGGAAAGTGTGCAAATCTCCCAAGCAAGTAAAAAGAACTTCCAAACTGGCACCAAGGGGATGCTTCCTTCAGCAAGGCAGAGAAGGGAGCTAAACTTATCTGCAGGAAACTCTTCCAAGGATAAAGCTGAAGAAATAACTGAGCGTGCCAATAACAATTTGAGATACTCGATGGTAACTCTACGCTGTGATCTCAAAGGAGACAACAAAGTATGTCGTTCAACAGTATTTTTTTTTTTTTAAATTAAGCCCTACAGTTGCAAGGAAATGCAAACTCCTCTTAGGAGATGAAAAAGCAAGGAGTCGGATGCCCCGTGTCCTATCTTCAAATGTCCAGTCACACGTCAGTGTCTAAAGCAGTTCAGATTTGCAGTACTAAAAAAGCCGGCATGGTCTTCTATTCAAGTGCGGAGAATCTTGAATAGAGTATGCACTGTAACATACTGCTCCCCATGTTCTATCTACAGAGATGACTGTCATGTCTGGACTAATTTAACTAAACTTAGATACATATCTCACCAAGGTTTTTAGGCATACAGTTTAATTTTAAAACAAAACAGAAACAAGCTTCAAAATAAACTGTAGCATCTATTTGCAAATAATGGAGCAAAGTTCTCAGTGATGTCCAGGCACTAGCACAAACTGGCTTTTAACTTTAAGTATTCCAACAAAATGCACCAGTTTTTCATCATTCTGACTAAATCAAGTCACACTAAAGGAAACTACAAACATCTCAAACACTCAACAATCCTCCTTGATTGAAGTAGAGGACCAGAAATTCATTATCCAGTTCTTTAAACAAACTATAGCTAAAAATCTCTCAGGTTTTAGGTTTAGATTTAAATTCTATTAATCAAACTTCCCCATGTATTATTGAAAATGAGGCAATTGCACAAAAATCATTAGCTGAGTGGATAATTATAACTGATACATAAATAAGAATTTACTAAAAAAGGCTTTCAGGAGGCAATATTTTAAATCAAAAATTTAAATACAAAAGGTGTCGTGTGTTGTGTAACTGTCTTAAGTTTCAGGTGTCTTTTACTCTACTGTTACAGATTTGGCAAGATTCCGTGGGAAATCAACCTGCAAAAAAAGAGAATTATTGTAGAAAATATAATCACAAAATTTACCTTGAAATATTACTGAATAGAGGCAAGGTGCTAACATACTCAGGGAGAGCTGCCTTGGTCCCTCTATGGAGGTGGCCCTGACAGGGAACCCTACAAACACAAGCAGATATTTGGTTCCCACAATAGCAGGAGGACTTAGGCTACTACAAGCACTGCAGCCCTCACTGTGGGAGAGAGCCAAACAATATAAACTGTCCTGCCCCAAAATGCCAAGCACTGCCTAGTAAGAAATAGTCCTGCACCTGGTCAGGCTTGTAGTAAATGCCAAGGCTGCCTTAAGTCCTACGAGTAAGAAGAAACGAATGTAAACTATGAACAGGCTGTAAAAAGCTAACAGGAGGTAACATGAACAGGATAAAATTTTTGAGGTGGGAGGGGCTATCGAGAAGGCACAGCAAGCAAAGGTGCTTGCTACTAAACCTGAGTTCAGTAATTAGGGCCCATATTGTGCAACTCCTGCAAGTTGTCCCCTGACCTTCACCCATGAATACACATGAATACATACTAAATAGACAGACAGAAAGACAAACAGACAGGCATTTTTTTTAAAAATAGTTGGGAGAAACTGTACCAAGATGTACCCAAGACAAAAGCCATCCCACAGCTCAACGGACGTGAGCACTCACATCGTAGCCTCTCAGCACAGCCAGATGGAAAGCCAGCAGCTGTAAGGGGATCACACTGAGAATGCCCTGCAAGCAGTCCACGGAGTGGGGCACCTTGATTGTCCTTTTTGTGTTCTTAATTGTCTCAGTGTCCTCCTTATCACAGATCACGACTGGGCGGCCCTGGGAGGAAAACCACATGCAGACACAGTCACCAGGAAGTAGATGCTGGACAACAAGTGGGCATGGGCTCCACACTGCATGATACAGACATGCTCTGACTGCTCACTTAGACAGAGGCAGAAACAGGGTTCGTGGACTCAGTAGGCTTTTCAAAAAATTTATACAAGAAAGGAATGCAAAACTTAGTACTTGAATACAGGTCTGTCTTCCTTTGAAGTTCAAGTTTATTTCCAATACATTGTGCTTAGGGAGAAATGGTTTCTGTAATTAAAATATTAGAGCAGCGGATGGGGGGGCTAACAGCCACAGCATTACTGTTAGTATAAATTCAAAACATGAGGGTTTCTTTTGAAGTAAATAATAACATTAAGGTAAAAATAAAAAGCATTGTGTTACTGATGGGAGAAAGAAGTGAGACTGGGGCCTAGTTTTTGTTTTAGTTCTGTACAAGAGCTGCTTTTGCAAGAGATGTGGCCAGATACCATCAAGTTCCAAGGTCTGGCTCCCTATCCCTGAAAAGCAAAGGAGCTGACAGAAACACTGTATAGTCATCTAGTGCTTTCGTAACCCACTCACAGATCTCTGGGGCTCCCTCACAGCACTCCACCTACCTGCCGGGCAACCACTTGCTGTAGAGCGTTCTGGCACTTGGCGTAAGTGTGGTCTCGCATGATGATCATGATGACAGGCATCAGCTTGTCCACCAAGGCCAGGGGGCCGTGCTTTAGCTCACCAGCAAGGATGCCTTCAGAGTGCATGTAAGTAATCTCCTTGATTTTCTAGATGAAAGAACCAGGTTAAGTCTTTAGCTCATTTTTCAAAATTCCACTTTTAAGAAAATATTACACACAGCATCTGAGATGGTATGTGAAGAAGTATTAAAGGGCTACTGATCGATAACTATAGATAACAAGTAAACAGATCGTTACTTCCAAAACACCAACGAGCACATAGTATTGAAGCTCTACAAGAGTACTCTTAAGGCTTCAGACTATCGACAGCAGTCACGCTGCTCTGCAAACATTCTTCCACTTGTCTTATATTTCACTTCAATTTCTTATCTAATGAACCTTAGTCTGTTGTTCATATTTCAATAGACGTACAGCCAACTTAAACTGCTAACCCCAAGGTACCATGTAAACACTCTTTTGGTTTTCACTTTTGAATTATGTTCTGTGGCATGTTCTTAAGTAAATAAACCAGAATGAATACATAGAGGCATTTTAAACATTCTACCTATTTCAATTTACTTATTCTACAAGTATGTGGGGAGTCAGCAAAACGGCTCAATAGATAAGGATGCATGTTACTAAACATGACAATCCAAGTTCAATGCCCAGGATTCAAACGGTGGAAGGAGAAAGCTGACTCCAGTTTAAGCTGTTCACTGAGTTTCACACATGCACTGTGGCACACCACCTCCCGCCCACTTCTACTCCACATACACACACACTAAGTAAAGGAATGGCAAGGCTCCGGATACAGTGATTGCCTGGCTTGCTGTGCTAAATCCCTAGCATTGCGCAATAAATACAAGTATATGTTCCCTGCCCCTAAGTCATTAAAATAAACTCAACTTTAAGTGGGAAAACGCACCAGGGCTCCTTCAAGACATGTAGCATAATGATAGCCTCGTCCCATTATCAGGACTGACTTCTGGTGGTAAAGTTCTGTCGCCAGCTTCTGAATTTCATCATCCATGCTCAACACTTCCTTAATCAAATCTGTTAAGATAAAGATTAGCCCCGTCTATGAAGAATGAGCAATACACTGAACAGATAAAGCAGCTATGCTATACTTGTAGCATACAACAAAATGCCCAGTATTTCCTTTTAACACATGGAGAATCAGAAAGATCTTATTAACTCTGCAACTATAAATCACAGTTTCAAGAGTGAGATGAGAATTTCATCCATTGTTCATTCCCTTACAAATCAAAGGTATAGAAAATAAAATAAAAAGCCTGTTTGTACTTCCCACTAGGATGGTAGGCCAGAAGCTGCGTCCTATGACACAGTCAGGGAGACATTAGAATTAAGAAAAGAGAGAAAGAGAGAGAGAAATAGACTCAAGGGACCTCTGATGTAGCTCCACTGGAAGAGTGCTTGCCTAGTATGCACACAGGCGTGGGTTTAATTGATATAACTGCATAAAACTGGGCATAATGGAGAACACCTATAATCCAAGCACCCGGGAGGTAGAGGCAGAAGGAACAAGAGTTCAAAGTCCACCCTGGGCTATGAGACCCAGTCTTAAAAATCAACAACAAAACCAAACATAAAAAACAAAAAAGCCCTCTATTACAAAGAGAGAGATCTTCAAAACACAAAGGATCAAAAGAGCCACCAGGCAAAAAAGTAATCAAATGGAGAACAGCCCCATGGTTCCCTGGTTGGGAGAAGGGAAACAGAAGTTTCATCCAAAAGGTAAGCCAGCATCCTTGATGAAGCCATGAGAGGATGAACCCGCAGGACAAACCATAGCCCTCAAAGCCTCTTCATCAGGTACTGGTCCGCAGACAGTGATTCCTCCAGCAGATGGGCCAGCAATAAGGCTTCATTCTTTCATTCTCCATGGCTCAGCGGGCACTGGCCAGACACCATCTCAGAAAGAAAGCTACTTTTTAGAGCTGAGCTAACCAGGGCTGGAGAAATAGCCTATTGGCTAAGAGCACTGAATGTTCTTTCAGAGGATCCAGGTCCAATTCCCAACACCCACAAGGTGGGGCACTGGGGCAATCTTTGTGGGTTCTTCTTTTTCCTACCCTTATCCCTCAGGTTTCACCCCCTAATACTAGAAGGAGAGAAACAAGGATAGAGAGGAAAGAAGAATTAGGAAAATCCCTGAATCTAATTTCTTTCCTTTTGTTTCTGCTTTAACCACGGCAACTGACACACCGCAACCAACCTCCTTAAATGACCAACAACCACCCACTCATCCCACCTATTGCTCAAGCATTTATATACCCTCCGAAAAATTCCCAGAATTTAATGTCACACAATCGCAGGAACTATGTACAGCTGGCAATACCATGCAAATCATGGTCAGCTGTTGCTGACAGTCCAAAGCAGCCCGATATCCCTACACCTCAGATTAAAACAATTACACATTCTTATATTTCTGTGTTTTTAAAGAAACCGAAATTCCAAAATTGCCACTACAGCTCACAACAATTCCAGTTCCAGAGGATCTGATGTCCTCTTCTGGCCTCTAAAGGTACCTGTATGCACACAGTGTAAAGATGTACATGCAAGCAAAATACCTATACATATAAAATAAAAGCATTAAATTTAAAATCTGAACTACTCTGGGCCTAAGTACAGAGAACAACCCAGTCAGGGAGCTGGAGGTCAGCCTGCTACACAACAGCTGAGAGGCGGCAAGGGGAGACAAGTGGAGAGAGCATGGGGCTAGACAAATGACAAGACAAAAGGACAGGTAGCAGGAGGCTTGGCCCAGGCAGTGACGCGTATGGAGAGAGGCAGCTGGAAGCAAAGCTCATTCGCTGAAAATAACTCTGAAGCTGATAGGCCTCAGCTTCTGCTATTCACTGCTATGGAGTCCAGGAAATTTGAAGCTTAGGTGACCTCTGGGGTCACCTAAGACCACTGAAAGCATATTTGCATTACGATTCATAACAGTAGAAAAATTACAGTTATGAAGCAGCAACAAAAATAATTTTATAGTTGGGGGGTTGGGGAGTCACTGCAACATGAGAAACTATATTAAAGGGTTGCAGCGTTAGCAAGGTCGAGAACCACTGATCTAGCAAAGCATAAAAAGCAGAAAGAATTCCAAGTATCCAAAGCCACCCACTCTCGCACTGCACTACAGTGACAGTGCCCAACACACGGCACTGACGAAACCCAACATGTAGACCCACACAACAGAGGACACAGAAGGAGACCACATGGCTGCAGCCACCATTTCAACAAAATGTCAAGAAAACACACTAGAGAAAAATCACCTCTGAAGAAAAACATTACTTCTTCACGAAACATACCAGGAGACCTGAATATTAACAAATAAATAAAATTAGATCCATTACTTCTCAGCCTGAAGAAAAACCAATTCAAAACAAAGCAAAGACTTTTATGTCCTGAATATGAAACTCTGAAATTACTGACAAAAACCATATTGAGAGACGATAGGCAAAGATAATGACTTCCTCAGAAGGATCCCACTAATAAGGAAATGACCACAAGGACTGACAGGGAGGACTTCATGCAATTCAAATTCTGCAGCTTTGCACAGTACAGTATGGCAGCCAATGAGGTCTACGCAGGGTATCATTATTGCTAATTTAAAAACTTCCGCACAGCAAAGAAAACAGTTAGCAGAGTGACGAAACAGTCTACAAAGTGGATCTTTGCCAACTGTCGCCCAGTAGATTACTAGTTATAGTCTGTAGAGCATCCCAGCGCTGGGGATGCAGCTCTGGGGTGGAGTGCTTGCCTCATGTGTGCAAAGCCCTGGCTCAGTCCCCAGCACTGCAGGAGCTGGGCATGATGACATACTTGTAATCTCAGCACTTAGGAGGACAGTCTGAGGACAGCCTAGGCTATGTGAGGCCCATCTTACCAAAAACAGAAGAAGGGAAGGAGGAAGGGAGAGAGGGAGAGAGGGAAGGAGGGAGGGAGATTATTTCCTATGCTAAGAAAAAATTCTATTTTAAAACATCTGTAAAATTATGAGTATTATCATACCTGGCAGCCGCTTCAGTCCAAGCATGATCTCTTTGCGTCTCTCTTGCATGGAGATCCTGTCATCGCACATCATAAGAGCAAACATCACAAGGGACACAAACTGGCTGGTGTACGCCTAAACACCACAGACAACAGAAAAATTAGCTCCAGTGAATTTTAAGAACTTGGAAATGAACAAAAGATGAAAAACGAAATCCCAATCTTTTCACAGCATACACTGTCCCTGTGACGCTGGTCTGACTCAGCCCTTGGAAATCTTTAATCAGAACGCACTTGATTCTTGTTCTCAGACCCAAATATCACAAAGCATTAGTGCTATGAGAACGTAGGAAAGGGAAAAAGACTGGAGGAAGATCCAGCCAATCTGAATGTGCCTACCCCAGTAAGGGAAAGAACAGGTTCAGGCTCCTGGCACTAGAGATGGATGAATAGCTATGAACAGCAGGGCCCCCACCTCCACACCCCGACACACACTTTTTAACCTTTGCCACTACCTGTTCCTCATTATTAATTTTTTCCTTTTTAAGATAGGGTCATGTTCAGCTACCCTGGGCTAGATTCAGAGTAATCCTCCTGCCTCAGCTTCCCAAGTACAGAAAGTGGAGTTGTGAGCTACCACACTTAGCTCATTTTCACTTTGTGTTGGAGTTTATGGGAAGAGACCAACTTGGGCAGAGATTTACCCTCTGTGTGCATGTGGAAGACAGAGGTCAACCTCAGGTGTTCCTCAGGAGCTGCCCATTTTGGTGTTTTTGTTGAGTCAGCCTCTCACTGTGACCTAGGACTCACTGAGTATTCTTTATCCGAACATCAAGACCCAGGGATCCACCTTTTTCCATTTCCCCACTGCTGAGATGCTAAGCACACACCACCAGGCCGAGGTGCTAACGCAGGTGCTTGAGTGCCACGTTGTCCTCACAGAGGTTCTTACTTTGTTAACAAACAAAACATTAAAGAAAGGCCTAAGTAAATAACAATTTACCCTGCAAACCCTACAATGACATATTTGTAATTTATTGGTGTGGGTGTCTGTATGCCACAGAGCACATATGAAGGCCAGGACAACCTCTAGGAACTAGTTCTCTCTTACTATGGGAGTCCAAAGGATCAAACAAGTCATCAGGCTTGGCAGCAAGCTCCTTTATTCACTTAGCTACACTGCGACCCCAGTTTTCTTTTTTTATATTAAGTATGAAAAGAACCTATCTCCAATAAAATAAAAAAAGGAAATTAATTATTGAGCTGAGTGAGTTTGTACACACAGTCATACACACCTACAATCCCAGGACTTAGGAGGCAGGGTCAAAGGATTAGGAACTCAAGACTCTCCTTAGCTAAGCACAAGCTCAAGGCTAGTAGGAGATACATACATGAGGTCCTGTCTCAGAAAACAGTCAGTGAAAAATAAGCATTAAGTGGCAGAAGTGTAGTATTTTATAATGCTCTTTTACACCTAACATCTAAGCACCTTCCTTGCTTAGTGGTGTGAATGAACTAGCCTCAGATGTCCCATATGTTAAGGGTTAAAGAACCAAAGATTATCTTGAGAATTAGTTCAGACACAGAAAGCACCCAGTACCATTCCTGACACACCGAACAGCGCTGGCAGAAACTTGCACTGAAAGACATTCCTTCCCCTATGAATACAGTGTGAACCTTCTAGCTTACAGACACTGCAAGGCGCTTTCTCATCGCTGTATGTGAATGCAAGATGCTCCTGTTTGTCACATTTGGTCAAAAAGTCACAATTATTTTTCAGACAATTAAAGACCATTTTGACATTATATTTATTTGGAGTTAGGGCACACATGCTTGTCCTGACTGGCATGTGAAAGTTAGAGGACAATTTGTGGGAGCCAGTTCTCTCCTTTCACCATGTGGGAGAGTCTTCTACTGAGCCATCTTGCAGCCCCTAAACCCTTTAAGACAGTCTCCCCATGTTGCTAAGCTGATCTCAAACTGAGAGCTCACGCAATCCCCACCTGTAGCATTCCCAGCTGCTGAGACTGCCAGTCATGGTGCCAAACAGCCTATCATTCAGCTTCAGTCCAAAGAAACCAAGATTTCTTTTCATGTGTGTTAGTTATTTCATACTCTCTCCTTTGAAAATTTGGTTTTTTTTTATCAGTTTTTCTTTTTCCCTTTCTCTCCTCTTCCCCCGCCCCCTTCCTTTCTTGGTTGTTGTTTGAGACAGGATTTCTCCATGTGGCTCTGGATGTCCTAGAAATCTCTGTAGACCAGGTTAGCCTCATATTCCGAGATCTGCATGCCTCTGCCTCCTTGGTGCTGGCATTAAGGGCTTGTGCCACTATGCTGGCTGACAGATTATTTCAAAGAAAGCTTTCATGTCTTAGGCCGTTGAAGCTTTTACTTAATTCTCATTACTAAATTGTTAGATACACTGTGCTGTGCACAGGCTGTCATTCAGAAAGTGTATCATGGCTTTACACCTGTTCCCAGCACTCTTCCCTGACTCTCATCCTCACTGATTATGCTCCTATCATGCTGAGGAAACACCAAAGACCCCAACACTTCTGCTGGAGCTCTGGCCTTCATTCATGGCTACCTGTTGCCATGGTATCCCCAGCAGTATGGAACTGCTTATACTGAAGTATGCATGTAGCCCCTGCCTCATGCTTATGAAGCCTGCATTCTACGTTCCAGGGCTGAAATCCCTCGTCACTATGGGTATGCAGAGAATCACTAACAGAGCAAAAGGAGGCCAGTATCTTGGTCTCCTTCGATAGACGTTCAAATCCAGTTTGATCTGGTGACAAGCACTCTGTCCAGCTCCTCCAGACTGCACATTCCACCATGGCGTGGTACCCCAGCCACCATAGTTTCCATCTCATCAGCACATAACAAGAAACTCATTATGATAAAAATAAGCTACACCTCACACTTACAGTCTATTTGGATCTGAAAAAAAAAAAAATCAGCCAGAAAATATTGACTGAACTTTTCAACTTGATTTTCTTTTTATTCTGCCAAAAACAAAATTACTTGGACACATTTGGAAAGAAAGAAGAAAAAAATAAAACCTAAGTCAGCAGTGTGGTAAAATTTTAAACACCTGCAATAACAAAAACTGCAAATTCTGCACACTGACACCATCAATTCCTAAAAAAACACCAAATTATCTATAGTCTGATATTATGTGAAAGTCAGTAACAGCACTCTAAAACAACCATTTTTTCCAGAGGTAGAAATTTACATGCAGGCTCATCATTGAGCTTGTGGTGGAGAGTGATGACCAACTTCTGTAATTACTTAGAACATATAAGCTCACATTTATCATTCAGAAATAATCTGTAATAAAATATCCCAAAGCTTATCTTATAAAACTCCAAGACAAGAATATCTAAGATAGTTGAAAACAAAATTACATTGGAATCCAAGAAAAACAAAACTATATTATATTGTCATACTTCTTAAAATGTTTACATTTATTTATTTAGAGAGTGTGGGGGTGCAAAAGCACAGCACATGCGTGTAGGTCAGAGGACAAAGGTGAGAAGGAAGTCAGTTCTCTCTCCCCTATACAGGTTCTAGAAAGCCTGACTGATGTCCGTACTGGATATTGCTACCTGCTGAGCCATCTTGCCAATACTCACTCTTACTAAACCTGACAGTCACTTTAAAAGAAATTATATGAGAAGATGTTTGCTTCCTTTATCCAAGATGGAAGCACCAAGCACGTGAAGAGTACATGAGCTTTCTCTGCACTGGGCCTGTGACTACAGCACCAGCTCATATGGTAAAGGCTTGGTCCCGGCTGCACTCCTAGACAGTGGTAAGACTTCCTCCTTTGGTTACCCAAAAGAATGTCCTTGCAGGATCCTGTGGGACCTGTGGCTCTCAGACCATCTCTGCTGACTAGCTCATTCCCCTCACCATAATATGAAAACCTTGTTAGAGGCACAAAACAATGAGGCTACCTAATTTCAGACTTGAACCTCCAGAGCTATGAACCAATACAAACCTTGTCCTTCAAAATTAGCAGCCTGTTTGTTATTATGCGGTGCAGCTGGTGCAGCTGACTGATACAACTCTGCAACTTCCCATAAAACTACATTTGTTTCAATTTTTAAAAAAAATTTAAAAGTATTTGCTTTCAAAGAAAGAGCTACCGATAATAATAACGACATGAATAAGCTTCAAAGGCTTCATACTAATGAAAGCCTGTTACAAAAGACATGTAACATAAAACTCTCAGGCATGAGGGATATCTGGAAGATGAGACAATTTGCTGAAAGAAAGCAGCAGTTATGATCATGAGGCTAGAGGTTTGAAGTGGGCAAAAACTGGCAAGGGAACAAAGGAATGAATGCTGTTCTGTGAACAAAGTCTCCCAAAACTGTGTGTGGTGACAGCTGCACAACCAAGTCAAGGTTACCACTGACGGTGCAAACTGCACCTTCACAAAGCCGTAGATTGACGCTGCAGTCTAGGTGGTGGGGAAATGAGTGTTAAGTCATCGTACTACTACACGCGTGAGAAACTTCACAATAAAATGGAGGAAAATGAAAACTCTCGTAAGCTAAAGAACTGAGTATTCTTAATGTACTCTCCTTGCAAGCTATGTTCTCACAGCACACTGAAGTGCGGTGGCTCACTGTGTGCTGCGGACACGGAGCCCTGTGTCCCACACTGGTCAGAGCCGTCAGGACACTGCTGCAAACCCCGAGCATGCATGCACCCTCAGGAGGGCCCTGAGCATAAGCACCCTGCAGTGTTTCAATCACCATACGGAGAAAATCTGCATTTCAGCTATGTGTAAATTATAGTAATATTAAGGCTCTCAATTAAAACTAACACAAAAATGCAAGAATCACGCATTTTTTCATAAAAAGTTGAGGATGAAAGCCTAAGCTACTGGCACATATCGGAGAATCAACAAAAAATATTAAGCCTAAGCAGAAAAACTGGAATTTCAAAATCATAAAAGTAACACATTTCTGGAGATTAACCTTCATATCAATACAAAGAGCACTTGCAAAGAGTTTGTTATTTCTTACATCTATTCATATCTCAACTCTAGAGAGCAAAGCAATTTTACGCAACTTTAAAACAGAAGTATTTTTAAGCTTCTACAGATGGAATATCTAAACAGAAACAGATACTGCCATGTAATATCTACTGTTAAATATTAAAAGGTTTTATTTATTTGACTGTGTGGGGAGGGAGATGTGTGTACACGCATGAATCCACAGATACCCAAAGGCGAGTAGGCCATCAGGTGTCCCGCTCTGTCACTTCCTGCCTTACCCTGTGAGACACAGTCACTCACTGAACCTGGAGCTAAGTTGGTGGCTAACTAGCTCCAGGATCCTCCTGTCTCCACACACCCACCCACAACCACAGCAACAGGTCACAGGCAGGCATGACCAGGCTTTTTACATGGGTGCTGGGCATTTGAACTCAGGCCCCCAGCTTACACAGCAAGCATTCTTAAATGACGAACATCTCCCCAGATCCCAACCAGCTTTTTTTTGTAACTGTCAATTTTACGAAGTATATTCCTTGCTACAAATTTTCAAAAGTGTTGTGTCACATGCTGACATACTTAAGGAAACCAGGACTATATAAATAAAAACATCAAGAATTATTTGGATTAAACTGTGTGTTTCTAACTTACTGCTTTTCTAATCCCAATATACCTACTAACAGGGAGGTGTTATGGTGTATACACCCATTGTGCTCAGAGAGGAGATTGGGAGTGATGAAGAGAAAAAGACATCTTCTCAAAGCAGACTTTTAAACACTGCCCCCTTTAAGCTGTGGGGCTACAGCAGGGAAAGGAGCATATTAACTGACCAACAGATCAGAGTCCCTCACCAACAGCATGGCTGAGGAACTTCTACGGAAGAAACCAAGGATTTACCTTTGTACTAGCCACACCAATCTCAGGACCAGCATTAATGTGCACCCCACAATCTGTCTCCCTTGATATAGAACTGCCGACTGTATTCGTGATCCCCACAGTTAAGGCTCCTCTCTCCTTACAGTAACGAAGGCCCATCAGGGTGTCGGCTGTCTCACCTGTGTGAAATGGACAACAGTAACACAACAAGGCAGCTTCAGAAGTCGCCATTTCTTACATGAAAAGCCAGCTGGCCACACTTTCAGTATTATCATTTCTTTTAAATAAAGCATGAGGTACGCTCTTATTAAATTTAGAAGATATAGCCAGGCATGGTGGCACACACCTTCAATCCTAGTACTTGGGTCGAAGGGGCAGACAGATGACTGAGTTGGAGGCCAGCCTGGTCTACCTAGTAAGTTTAGTCCAGCCAAGGCTACTCATGGAGACCCTGTCTCAAACAACAAGAAAAATCATATATTACAAGACAGGCTTTTTAGGATCTCTTTTTTTTTTTTTTTTTTTTTTTTTTTTTTTTGGAAAATTAAGCTCTTTAAGGCTATGTTAAAATGTTCATTTTTACTAAGTCATAAAAAATGCATTATCATGACTAAAGCCAATCTATTTACCAGGTCATCTGAAATACCAGTTTAAGTATCAATTCATATGCTACAATTATTAGGAAACTTGACTTAAAATGACTTTTTTTCCCTTCAAGTCTAGAATGAACACACCTGATTGACTGATAAAGAAGCAAACATCATCTCGAAAGACTGGAGTGTTTCTATCCAAGAAGTCGCTGGCAAGCTCCACCATCACCGGCAGCTCTGTCAGCTCCTCTAGGACCTGCCGGGTCTACAGAGAAAGAGCACAGTCTGCCTTCACACATCCTTTCTCATTGAACTTCTCTGATCTTAGGGTACACTGTCCACTTTTCCAATTATAAAAACAATGTGCAGACTAGAGGTACCGCTCAGTAGTGAGCACTGGCCCAACATGCACAAGGCCCCAGGCCTCAACCCAGCACTGACACAAGAAAAGCAAGACAGAAATTTGGAAAACATTAAGCAATGCAAATTAAAAGAAAAGAAGTATTCAACATTCCACTGTTCAAGAAATAAGCATTGCTAACACTTTAGTAAAAGTCTTTTAGAACAAACTACCAATGCGTATGTTCTGTTTTTTTAAGGCTGGTCTGAAACGCCTATGTAGTCCACCTGGCCTCAAATTTTCACTAAGGTTCCTGTTTCAGCCTCCTGAGTGCTGGGATTACCGGTGTAAGCACCATGCAAACATTCTTAAAGGCAAATCTATCCACGAGTTTGAAACATTCTGAGCAGAAAAAGCACTGTTCTGAGTCAACGTCTGCGTTATCACTAATTCTCTAATTGCAAATATTTAAAATTAAAATTTTAATAATGTATCTATTAGTGAAAATTTAAACACTTTAAAAATGTACTATACTTCTAAATAATGCTATTTCAACAAAGTGAATACATTTTAGAAGTTCTGTTTAAGGCAGGTCATTATTTTCAATTTGAAGCACGGTATGAGCATGGTATGAAAGAAGAAGAAAGCAAAGTGCTTCTGTTCAAAGGGAAGCTCAGAGTCCTTCACTAAAGCTCATTCTCATTATGTTCCTTTTACTCTAAATGTTAGAAAATTTCAAACGGGCTGGAGAGATGTCTCAAGGTTAAGAGCACTGGCTGTTCTTCCAAAGGCCACCACATAGTGGTTCATCACCATCTATAATGAGATCTTGTGCCCTCTTCTGGCCTACAGGCAGAACACTATATAAATAATAAATAAATGAGAGAGAGAGGAAGAGGGAGAGGAGAAAAAAAGGAGGGAGGGAGGGAAGAAGGGAAGGGAAGGAAGGGAAGGGAAGGGAAGGGAAGGGAAGGGAAGGGAAGGGAAGGGAAGGGAAGGGAAGGGAAGGGAAGGGAAGGGAAGGGAAGGGGAAGGAAGGAAGGAAGGAAGGAAGGAAGGAAGGAAGG